TCCACAACCAAGAGATAAGGTGCACTCTTTCCTCTAACGTTATCACCCTATATACCACGCACTACATAAGCCTCTGCAGTCTGCACTGTATGTTAAGCACTCTACTCTACATGTAATCATAATTCATAAATGAGTCATCACATGATCAACACACTTGTACCGATGATACTTAGGTTTGCTCGGAGAAATGTTTGCCTAAAAGAACTAAGTGTCAGATCATATGAGGTTATGATCAGGATTTAAGTTGCTAAGTCAACATGCAAGAGCCTCATTTCCCTTTCAAGTATCCTCCTAGGTGAGAAGTGGATCTTGGAATCTCATGCTACAGACTGAAACAAGGTAAGCCATTTAACATTTTGTCACTAGTCTTAACTCGTAATGATACGAGTTAATGGGAAGAAAATTTTATGATTGGGAAATTCAGACTTAGCCAAGCCTCATGTTCTATGGCTCAAGTGTTTAGTCAAATCTCAACCAAACCAACTTGACGAAGGTCAGCATAGAAATTGTGTCAAGGAGCCTTACCTAAGGATGACACAATTCCTTTGTCACTTTGCAACAGATTCACCCATCAGTAACCGTATTCGACCGATGAAATTAAGAGTTCTAGTGATTGAAAAGATGAAAGGGTAATCTCAATGAACCGAACGATGCCTATAAATTGAAGACTAAATTTGAAGTCGTAACTATATCAGAAAATTCTTAAGAGAGATATGATTGGATGCAATTTTGAACGCCAACATTCATGGGCAAAGAGATTTTAGGCCAAAATTCAGTGAAGCATGTTACACGTTGTACCCACCCTTTGGCAAGGAATATACACTAGTTGAAAACTCAAAAGCACAAGAAGTAAGACATCTAGCTCTTAAAGATGCTATGGAAAGGAACGAATATAGCCTTAGCATACTCACACTGCTACACATTCTTTTTGCTTAGCCACAAACTCTTAACAACATTGAAAAGAAAATTACTTGAGCTAATTAGCATCCAACTGAAACACGTTTACATAACAGAGCAGGCATTTGGGTTCTCGTCGCTGAAAAACTGAGGGGCATAAGCGTAGTCATTGTAGTTTTTCGATGGCCAGTATTCACTTCGCTTGATTTCAGTTTTGTTTTCTTCTTCTCCCTTGTTTTCTTCACCTTCTTTTTTCTCTTCCTTTTTCTCCTCTTCTTTCTTTTCTTCTTCCTTTTTTTCTTCGTTCTTCACTATAGAGGCTTGCTTTTTGGTCCTCTTGTACACATGATCAACAAGCTTGGCAGGGTCAATGACTCCTTTTACTATGACTTGATCATTTGCAAAGTCTGTTTCCACTGATTCTACTCCTGCAGGTACAATTATTAGGATGTCTCAAATTACGTAACAAATGTTGGTTTGTGGATAATGTATGAATTTGAAGATGTTGTATAGGGTTAAAGGGTAATAGGGCATGTAATATAATATCATTAAGTATTTCTAACAAAGCTCAGAAACTTTTCCATCAAGTTGTCTTTCAAAATCTCTAACCAGAAGAGCTATTCATACGACAACCCAACATAACATAGAGCTAACATACCGTGAAAGGCGTAAAAATTAAAAGACAAAATAACTAGCTAGTTGAAAGTTGAAACATTTAAAAACAATTTTCTTTCACTAGCATTTATTTTCTAAAAGTATTTTGTTTCCCTAGATGAATAATTTAATATCGGGCATGCTATGCACCAATAAAATAAAATAAAACGGTTATAAGATTAATCACGCTTAGATTATGTTTGGCATCTAGCACACTAGTACGTGTTATATTAATGTCCAAGGTTCTTCTTTCCCCCACTTTTTCTCGGATGAAGTTGCATATAAGCTATGCGGCTGAAGCAATACTCTCTCGAACTATTTATAAGTAAAAAAATTTAATTTTTTTTAACTAAAATATAAGTAAATTTTATTAAAATTAATTTTATTTAATACTCTTGATCCAAAAGTATTCTACTATCTACCATGAATGTGATTAAACATATTTTAAAAAATGTGATACATTTTACGTGAAATTGTCATAATAAAATGTATTTAATGAACTTTTTAAATATGTGTAAAAGTGATTTTATTTGCTTATATATAAATCTAGGAGGAGTACCAGTTATATATAATGTTTCAGCATCGAGATAGAATACACCTTCCTTTCTTAAATGATTTTTATTTGAGAGTATTACATAAAAATCAAGAAAATCATCAATTATTCTAAATACCAGAGAGAAAAAATGGCAATAAAGAGTATATGTAATAAATGTTTTCTTTTTTGAGTTAAGAAATATAATATTAATGAGACTTTACTTCCTTTTCAATCGAAACAATTAATTTAGGATGAAGTTTTTGGATTAAAAAATATAATAGTTAAGATATATTCAGCGAATCCTATTGAAAATAGTAAGATCACAAACTCTCTTTGGAATGAGTCAAAAATTGTAAGCTTAACATGATTAGCGCCGCAGAATAGGATTCTTATGTCCTTAGAAAAAAGAGAGAGAACATTACATACACGTGAACCTACCATTAAAAAATATTGCGTTTCTGTATCACATCCCAAAGACCCTATGAGGGTTGTAATGGCTTCAATGAAGTTTGAAAAGATATGCAGAAAATAATAAATATATATATAAATAAAACCTAACATAAACTTCATAATTATAAAAAATATCCACGACACATTGTTTTTATGACTTTCTTTATTTTAAGATAAAAGATTTTTGATTCATCAAAAAAAGATAAAAGATTACTGCAGCCTTACTCGATAACGTGGGCTCACTCTGTACCAAAGTTAGTATCATGAGATTCTATTAATAAATAAAAAGTAGTAGTATTAAAAAAGAAAGTATCGAAAAGTATATTGTTAACATTTTTTCTTGTAATTACCATAAGATTCCATATTTCCATGGTAATTAAACTTGAGCAGAGAAAGGTGTAAATGAAATGAAATAAAAGGTATCATGCAGTGCAGTATTGGGATTCTCGATAGTCATTAGTGATCAGTGATGAGTAATGAATAATGATGATAATATATAATGATTGGAAGGCACAAACTCGTG